TCTTGAACTGGGGAGCCCAGAACTGGACACAGTACTCTAGATGAGGCCTCCCTAGGGCAGTGTAGAGGGGAAGGAGAACCTCCCTCGTCCTGCTGGCCACACTCTTCTTGATGCACCCCAGGATTCCATTGGCTTTCTTGGAGGCGAACATAAATTTGAAGCCATCTTACAACAAGACCTTTCAAGGATTTCTGGAGAGGATATATAATTTTTAAATCTTGTGGTGAAAAGTATGTGAACTGGGCACTTATAAAGCCCAATCTTTAATTAACATATAGCTTTCAGATAAAGAAGTGTGATCCAAGACACGCCGGTTTCAGCCCTGCGCACCCTGCCTGCTGCAGGACATGGGCTCGGACAAACGCACCAAGGTTCGAGTCAGCATCGTCACTTAGGAAGTCAGGGCAATGGAAAACTCAGTAAAATGTGACAGATGGTATCTGTAGGCTCACCCAGGAGCCGACCGAATCGCATCGCACCGCTGGACTGCTGGTACAGTTAGAGACTGACTCTGAAAGGGAAGCGAGGCAGCCGAGCACAAAACCTAGTAATTGATTTAGAGCTTTGAGGAAGAATATTACCTGACAGCAATCTTTCCATGAAATCACGAAGCGGAGCACTGCCCCAGTCTGATGGCCTATCAAGCTTAGTGCTGATTAATTATATCATTCGGTTAATCCCAGCCATGTCATGAATTCCAGTTCATTTTCCAGAACAAAGAGGAAACACCAGCATTTACCAGCTGAGATAAAGCATTGCCAATCCATTAGCCACAGGCAAAAATCTGATTTGCAGTTTTGTAAAGGGACCTGGCACGCCCAGCAGCTTACCTACGCTGCTTCCAGGCACGGCGCTGCTTGTTCTCGCCTGAATGCTAAAGGGTCCACAGCATTTGTGGGAACAGAGTTAAATAAGTCATGACTGATTTTGAATAGGGATCGTAGCAACTACGAATCAACCATCTTCTGCAGTCAGAATGTCAGTTTTCTTTTAATTAGCTGAGAAAATAACATCCTCTGCCTAAACGTCCAGACAAACCACCTGAGCGGGTGAAGGAACAGGAACAGATAAAAACGTGTTCCTCCGCTGCAGTAAGACGGAACCATCTCAAAGAACCTTGGAGGGGAAACGGGGCCATTCGGGTCAGCCTGGGGCCGTGCTGAGGCGAGGGGTAACGACAGCGAGGGACGAGCTTACAAATATCTAAAGGGTTGGTGTCAGGAGGATGGGGCCAAGCTCTTTTCAGTGGTGCCCAGTGACAGGACAAGGGGCAATGGGCACAAACTGAGGCACAGGAAGTTCCGTCTGAACATGAGGAAGAACTTCTTCCCTCTGAGGGTGACGGAGCCCTGGCCCAGGCTGCCCAGGGAGGTTGTGGAGTCTCCTTCTCTGGAGATATTCAAGACCCGTCTGGACAAGATCCTGTGCAGCCTGCTGTAGGTGACCCTGCTTTGGCAGGAGGGTTGGACTAGATGACCCACACAGGTCCCTTCCACACCCCACTATTCTGTGATTCTGTGAGGAGAGCGGGCGGTCACCGCAGCTGCAGCACCGAGCCCTGGCTCGGGAAGACGGAGGATGGAGGTGCGCGAGTCCTGGGACGAGCCTGTTCGTGAAGAGCTGTGACACCTCCATAAATCTTCCCAAGGACTCACGCTTTGTGGAGGCGGAGTAATTGATAAATGAGTAATTTGTCTTTTATGCCTAAATTACAAATGCACTTGATCTTTCAGCAGAGCGATGCGCAGATAACCTATAGCACCCCAGGAGTAACTACGCTTGCCAACTTTTTTCGTGCCTTTCATTTAAAAACTCTAATTAAAACTCAGCGGTAGCAACTGAGCTAAATGAATTTGGCAACCATTGTTGCGAACACACAGCCCATTGGTGTTATTTATTTACTCGAGATTACAAGCTAAGAGAAATGGTAACAAATCACGCCTTTCACCTCAGCAGCTAATATATACTAATTATAACCTGACTGTCTCAAACACTGAGCTACTGCAAGTCCCAGTTAGATCAAGGAAGATTAAGACTATTAGCAACGATGAAAACCATGGTCATAAAGAAACTGGCGCATGAATCAAATCTTGGTGATACATATAGATAATAAATAAAAAGGATGGAACACACAGCAAAAAACAGGTTTTGGAAGTGGTGCATATAAACAATGACTTTAGACTCTTCCCTTTAATTATACACGATGAACAATGATCCTCAGGTTTGTCTTTGGCCATCATTCCCCTTGTCAGTAATTAACTGATCTTTCAATATATCCTGTAATAAAAAACGTATGCTATATTTTTCTCCTGAAGAATGAACTTTGGCAGATACGCTCTGGAATTATTAGATGCAATGTTATTCAAGCCATACGCATAAATGAAACATATACAAGCATCTGATGGTTGAAATTTATACTGAAAAATGTAGTAACGCTATATGTTGACAAGGACTACGCTAATAGAAACCCACTCTTTGTAGCTTTTTTCCAGTAAACTTCTGCTAACGCTTGTGACACAAATCCTGATTCTCACTCACTTGTCTCTGCCTGCAGACACCGTGGTTCAGGTGCACAACGCACCCGCCTGGCCCCTGCCTGGCGGCAGCTAACCGGGAGCTGTGCCTGCAGACCGCCGCACGCCCCGCGGCCCCGACGGCCCGAGGCAGAGGGCAGGTCCCCTCACGAGACTGGCAGGGCGACCATATTTTCCATTATAAAATCTTAAAAGAACAACCAAAGTCTCATTCTCCCTCTCCGTTTCTCTAGACCTCGGCACTAAAGCACAGGCACCAGCTGCGGGAGGCTCTGCGCTGCAACGGCTGCAAAGCAGAATATTCAAGAATTACAGCAGCTCCTCTAGCCGGGCGGTATTCCAAACGACTGCCATGCATCCCGCTGTCCTCCCAGGAACGGCAGGTCCTACGGACACCGCTCCCACGGGAAAGCCAACACAAAGCCCCGGGAAATAAAGGGAGCGCGGACACGGCGCGGAGCAGCTCCCGGTAACAGGGCAAAGGGAGTCAACACCCACTGGGGCTGTCCTGCGCAGCCAGCTCTGGGTGACCCTGCTTCGGCTGGGGGTTGGGCTGGGTGACCCACAGAGGGCCCTGCCCACCCCGACCATGCTGGGATTCTGTGAAGCAAAATCTTTGGAGAGAAACATGGTGGAAAAAAACATGGAGCCACTATGGTCCCGGCAAGGGCAGGCTGGCGTGCTGGGCTGGTC